AACCTGTGGAACTCCTTGCTTGAGGGGGTTGTGAAGGCTAGGACTATAACAGGGCTTAAAAGAGAACTAAATAAATTCATTAAGGTTAAGTCCATAAATGGCTATTACCAGTATGGGTAAGGAATGGTGTCCCTAACTTCTGTTTGTCAGAGGGTGGAGATGGATGGCAGGAGAGAGATCGCTTGACCTGTTCAGTTCACTCCCTCTGGGATGCCTGGCATTGGCCACTGTTGGCAGACAGGGTACTGGGCTGGATGGACCTTTGGCCGTTCTTATGTTCTTACCCTCCCTTGCCCTGCTGTCCCTTCCCATCTTCTCCCCGTCTCATGCAGAACAAATAAAAAGTCTTTTTGTTTTGAAAAACAACTAAAACAACTCTAATTTTTTATTTGGGGACTATACAACAGGGAAGAGACTTGATAAAGAAACTGGGAGGAAGGAAAAGAGGGAAGGTGGGGAGGAGGGACTCAAGGATGGGGCTGGGGCTGGCACCTGCCTTGGGTACCTCATGAGGCTTCAGCTTGCCTGAGAGGTTCCACTACCACGCGTTCGTGGAACCTGGTGGACCGTGGAGGACTAGGAGAAGAAGCCAGATGGGTGGGTGCAGGTGCTGGGAGTTGGGGGGAGGTTTGGGGGTGGCTGATGGACCACTCAAGAGCCACAACCAGGTGCTGCACAACAGTGATGATCGAGGAGCAGATAGCCTCATGCTGATAGGACAGCTGCTCCCAGAAAGCCTGTCTCAGCCCCCGGTCAGAGCGACGATCCCAGCATTCCGCCCTAATCTCTGAGCCTTCATTGAATGTCAGATAATGGTGATGTGCTACAAGCAAGGCCATCTGTTGCTAGACAGTGGACACTTTCCTGCAGGAGCACAGACATCCTGCGGAGCCTCACTACTTCCATGTCCTGGGGACAAGCAAGAATGGGAAGTTGCCAGCTAGGCCGAGCCTTTGGCTGGAGTGGGGGAAGGGTCAGCTTGGCTTCCTACTGTATCCCACACACACCAAGGCCAGCAGTGGTAGCATCCTACAGAGAGAAAACTTCTATGCCTGCCTGCTGGAGGAGAGGAGGGGAGGGTGTTGGGAGAGTTTCCATGCAGGGGTTCAGTGTCCTCCTCATCGCCACATTTGATCGGGAGCAGATGCTGCCTGAGAGGACCTGTGCCATGCGTGGTACTGCCATGTGTTTCTAAGATTTTAGCCTCCTTAGTGATGGCTTTTCATGGGAAGGTGTCCCACCACGGAGTCCAGAGTAAGGCAGACCTGTGCAGGAACCTTGTGAAAAGGATTTGGGTGTGCCTGTGTGAGAGCATCATGGAGCTGAGTCCTCCATGTGCACAGACTTTTGTGCAACCCCCAGGCCGAGAAGGAGCATGCAGCCCCTCGCAGCCCACCACTTGTCCCCACATGTGGAAAGTGATAGCACTCAACTGAACTGCCTTCCCCAACTTCATCCAAGCCCTGGGAGACATCCTGGTAGGAGAGGGGCATCTCCAGGCTGAAGATGACCTGGCTGTTGGGCACGGTGTCCTGGCTGGTCTGTTCCTCCTCCTCATTGTTGCTGTCATCTTCCTTCACAGCCCCTCTCTCATGGAGGCTGATGCTATCCTGTCTTGCATGTCTTGGCCGGAGTTGACAATGGGGGAGGAGGGAGGTGACTGGTCCCCCCCCCCCCCAGGATGGCATCCAGCTGCTCATGATAGCAGCAGGTGTGTGGTGACACCCCAGAGTGAGAATTTTGTTCCCTGGCCTTTGTGTAGCTCTTCCTCAGTCTTTCATCTTCAGTCACACTTGGTCCAAGGTGCAGCTGTGCCCCTTCTGGGCCAGGCTGGTGGCCATCTGACTGTAGACATCAGCATTTTGGCAGCTGGTGCGGAGTTCCTGGAGGTTTAACTCCTTGCCCCAAACCTCAATAAGATCCAGGATCTCTGCACCAGTCTAGTCCAGCCCTGGCCCTGGCCAGGGGCTTCAGAGGTGGCTGCTGGTGTGCTCGCAGCTGTGGGGGGCTTGGAGGGAGCACTGGGGTTGTTCATCACTGCACTGAAGGGTGCTGCTGTGTGGCACTGGGCTGGCAGGGCCAGTGTGGTGCTACAAGCCCTTTCCCTTCTGTCTGCAGCTTTAAAAACTGCAAGAGAAGGGGAGCATTAGAGTTGTCATGTGTGTGGCCAGAGTAGCCACAAGTGCAGCTGTGAGAGGCCTGTGGAGGCCAATTATTTAAAAATAGCAGCTAGCATCCACAGTAACACTATTTCAAAATAACAATTTTGAAATAGGCATTATTCCTCATAAGGAGCAGGAGATATTATTTCAAACTAACAAGCCTGTTATTTCAAAATAATAGACTTGCTGTGTGGAAGTTCAACTTCTTATTTCAAAATAAGGGAAGTTATTTCAAAATAACTCCCCAGTGTAGACATTCTCCAAAGACACAGCTACACAGCACTGTAACTTTAAATAAGATACACAATTTGAGCTACACAAATTGCTTATCTTATTTCAATGCTATTTCAAAATAGCTTATTTTGTCATTTGGTGCTGTTCATACAGCACCGAATTTTTAAAATAAAATGCTATTCTGAAACATCCCTTACTCCTTGTACAATGAGGTTTATAGGGACATCGGAATAGCAAGCCCAAAAATAATGGGCTTGCTTGGAAGACACGGGATGGCTATTTCAGGACACTCTGGTATCCCATAATAGTGTTGTAATGTAGATGTTCCCCAACAGATTTATTTGGGAATAAGCTTTTGTGAGCAAAACCCATGAAACTGACCAGCAGTGGCTGAATCAGGACACCTGGGGCAGAGCAGCTGGGGTGCTGCCGGGTTGGTCCAGTAGTGCCCAAAGCGGCGCTGCGGGACCAACCGGCAGCACCCCAGCTGCTCTGCCCCAGGCGTTGGGAGAAAAGGCTGGACTGCTGCGGGGCGGGCGGAATAGA